AACCGCAATCGCAATCGCAAACGCAACCGCAGCCGCAGCCGCAGCCGCAGGCGCAGCCGCAGCCGCAGCCGCAACCGCAGCCGCAACCGCAACCGCAACCGCACCTGCAGTCGCAACCGCAGCCGCAGCCGCAACCGCAACCGCAACCGCAACCCCGCAACCGCAACAGCAACCGCAACCGCAACCGCAACCACAACCGCAACCGCAACCGCAACCCCAACCACAACCACAACCACAACCCCAACCGCAACCGCAACCACAACCCCAACCCCAACCCCAACCGCAACCGTAACCGCAACCGCCCCAACCCCAACCACAACCACAACCACAACACCAACTCCAACACCAACCGCAACCGCAACCGCAACCGCAACTGCAACCGCAACCGCAGCCGCAACCGCAACCGCAACCGCAACCGCAACCGCAACCGCAGCCGCGCCCGCAACCGCAGCCGCAACCGCAACCCCAACCGCATCCGCAACGCACCCGCAACCGCAACCACAACCACAGCCACAATGACAACGACAACGACAACGACCACACCAACAGCAGCCGCAGCAGCAGCAGCAACAGCCACAGCCACAGCCACAGCAACACCAACAGCAACAGCAACAGCAGCTGCAACAGCGGCGCCCTTCCAAACACCTTGGTTACATCCTTAGCACCCTCTAGCCACACAGCGCAGCACCCTGCAACCCCTTCCTGCACACTTCAACGCTTGGACAGCACCCACCGCACCCTGGAAATGCACTGTGTAACGGCACCCTGCGCAAATGCCTACCAACATCTTCGCTCATCCCGTGGTCTTTGGTGTGACCAAATCGCCCCGGAGACACCTTTGGGAAGCAGATTGCTTTTCACTAAACCTACGAAAGTTGGCCGACCTTTACTCAGGGGGAAGAGCAACCCCATTGTTTACTGGAAGTTGAAACCCCCATGGCTTTTAGCTCTTGGAGATGGGCATGATGGATGTTTATTCACGCCGTCAGAAACAATCGCTCCCCCAATCAATCTCTGCCTTGTCCAAATATGCCGTTGAACCGAGAAAGGGTCCATGGAGTGGGGTCCGTGTCTTAGATAAGCTTTGGGTAGCTTTTCGACGCCCAGTTGCTGAATTTGTGCTCACTTGATTCCAAGTATGGTCACGACTGGTAGATATGTCTTCAAGCAAATGGGAATTCAATATGCTAGACAGCTGAAACACCAACGGTCGCCCTTCGGGATAGATCCTTTCCTTTGGAACGACGCCTTGCGTGAGTCCAACCAACGCCAAGTGAAACATGGGAAGTCATCTTCCACATCCTCGGGTTCGCAATATCAGGGGTCCCTGTCTTCCCGTTTTGGTGGGTTTTAAACATCACCTGTTTGGCCCATGAAAGACGAGAGTCCCTTTGTGGGGACGATGTTTAAGAGGAAATGTAGGGAGCCATGGTAATGTTGGTGCCAGGGAAATCAGGCAATCTGTGATATGTCGACCATGAGGGGTTCGCACTGCCCGCCCCAAGGGCGGCGGCAACTTTGGAGTAGACTGAGCGGGTCCCTCTGAGATCGCTGAAAACTTCCTGCAACATCGAACTGACCCAGGATCTTTTGGTTTGTTTGTTGGTCGAGGGGAGTGTGTGTGTGTGTGTGTTGGTGAGTAGTACCATTCTTTTCAGATTGGTTCAAAGGGAACAAGCAAGCAGCACCATTTGTTTGCGGGGTTGCTTTGGCACTTCCCGAGTTGTAGCCATGGTTCCTCGAAAGTAGGCCTTTGTTTTTAAGGTCCTTGAGGCTCTCACAATGGCCTCGAAACTGGGCGGGTGTTCCCTACCCGTTTTCCTTGGGGTTCCCTTTGAACCAAGGTGAAAAGGGTCGTCTTCAACGGCGAATGGGCCCTGCGTTTTGCCCCGGGTCGCATGACATGGCACCTGCTCTGGAATGACTCCTTTTCAGCAGGCTTAGTTCCATAGAAAATCGGAGAATGGCCTCGAGTCTATGGCACAAAAAGATGGATTTGTGGGGCCCTGTGGTTTGGGACTCACAAGCAAGGCAGAAGGGCTCCAATCAGGGTCCAACTGCTTCCCAAATCCGAACGCATGGTTGTTGTTGGTTGAAACATGTTTTCCCCCATGTTTGCTTGTTGTGGTTTAGTGGTTGAAATCCAACCACTTAACTGCTAAAGGTTGAGAATTGTTGCTCCCCTTTCAACGTCAACCAAGAGAACGGCTCCAATCAGGGTCCAACGTCTTCCCAATCCGGAACAAATCGCCTGCCCGAAAGTGCGGCTCGCAAGGCTGGAGGGGGACTTGGTGCATGCGCAGCGATCTGTGCGGCACAGCAGGATGGAGGAGCGCCTGCCGCCGAAACTGAGACCCTGGAGGTGCTTCTTCTTGTATGTATGTATGTATGTATGTATGTAAGTAGATATTTGTATATGATGTGGATATATTTGTTGTTTGTTCTTTTCTTCCATGGTGGGCTCGTGTTTCCACAAAGGACCCCCTTTTAAGTTGGGCAAAAGTGGGTGCCGGGGTTTGAACACTTGCAGAATGGTCATTTGGGTGTTTTGTTTGGCCTTCCTTTTGGCCTCCCTGTAAACCCGCCAGAAAAGGGGTATCTGAAAAAACAAGAGAGGAGCCACCCAGATTCGCTGCTGGATTCCTGCACTGGTTGCAGCGAGCTCCAGAATTGATGTGAGCAACAACCAAGACCGACTCGGGTAGGTGAAGGTTAGTAAGGGATACTCCCCGTGTCTTCGCCTTCGCCGCCTTGGAACAAATCATTGAAGCATGGTTCTGGGTACCTGGAGTCTCCTTCTGACCGGAAATGAACATAGGTCCATGAGCCCTAGGGCCCTAGATGACCCTATTGTGAAAGGGTCATGGAGACTCTAGGTAGACCATGTCTTTTACTACCAGGTTTTTATTATGACTTATGTGTGTTGCTGTTCAATGGGCAGCGTTGAGGCCTCAATTCCTTGTTTGCTGGTGGCGCACGTCCCATGGCACTTCACACAAGAGTTTAACATGCCATACTGTGAGCCCTGGACAGCAGCTGGGGGCGACCCAACACAGGCTAGGTCCCCCAGCTAGGTGCCCTGTGACCTTTTCCTTTTTTGAGAAGGGTTCCCCTACTAAAATAGACTACAGCGAATAGGGTACCCTTATTCTATCCTCTGTACTGGAGGACCTAGCAGGGCAGACAACAGGGATGCCCCAATGGTGAATTCCACCAATTCTTTGGCCTTCAGCAGGCCATAGCCGGAATCAAAGAGGTGACTTCGGCATGGAATTCCCATAGGAGTCCGCCTGGTTCGAAACCCCCAGCCAAGAAGACCTGGCCGTATCTTTTAATCGACTTTTTGAAACAAGCTCCTTTGGGCATGCCAAGACCAACGCCTTGTTTCAGTACATTCGGATTCCCACCCAAAGGGTAACACAGAAAGGGGGTCCCTCAGAAAACCCCAAAATATACGTTCCACACATGGTCTCAACCCACTTCAAGTCTCCCTGACTTTGATCCCTTTCGGTTTTTCGTGGCTTCGGCCCCCGTGTACCTCGAGACCTCCTTCGCCCGTCGCTCGCGGTTAAAAATCGCCAAGGAGACTGCAGCGCCCTCCCCCGCCTCGGCGTCACAGCCGGTGGAGCGACTCGAAAAGCAGCGGGAGCCATGTGGAGCCCGGAAGCAACCACCTAGATCAGGGCTCCTTAAAAGATACATTTTGCCCAGTTGAAACATGGCTTTTTCACCAAAATAAATGCAAACCACCATTTACAAGGCAATCTTCAGGTGTATAATGTAAGGATCCCTGTAGATAGCCAAGTTGCAGTTTTTTGTTCAGTCACTCTTGCTGGTTTTTCTGAGTACAGTAGATGGAAAAAAGCAGCAACTGGCGATCATGTCTAGGTCCCCCAGCAAACCGGGTTCTTTTTTGGTTGGGAGGGTTCTCGTACTAAAATAGACTACAGAAAGAGGGTACCAGCTTATTCTAGCCTCTTTCTACTGGGGGACCTAGTTCAATTTGGGGGTGTTTTTCCCGTGAAATGTGGAGACTCATCACTTTTGGAGATGCATAGTGGGTGCCTCTAAAAGGGTTTGATTCCTCACTAAACCCAAAAACAAGCATTTTGGTGCCTGCCAAGCATCCTGTTCAACTTAGCTGTTTAGACGTGTTTAGTGGGTTTAGTGGTTGGATTTCCCAATTTAACCCACGAAGAGTTAAACTTTCAGCGGGGGAATCTGAGGACAGCCCAGGTATATACCAACATTCGACCCATTTGGAGGTAATATGTGGGCATAACAAAACCTACATGAAGTGTTTGGGGGATGGACGAAAATACTGAACCGCTATCGAGTCATTCCGTGTGGTGCGAAATGGACTGTATTTTATTGTTCTCTTGGTCTTGAAGGGAAATTATCGCTGGACATATTATTATGTTGTTCAAGCGGACTTCAGCCAACGGACTGGATTCTATCGTTTTATGAGCTTGCTTTCTACGTGTCCCCCAGCCCCATTCTAATGATTTGAGAAGAGTATTACAGTACATTTCCCTCGGCGGGTGGATTGAAGCATCACCTTTTGGGAGAAAGGCGTCTTCAGTGAGCAAACGGGAGAATGGGTAAGCAGCAATTTGTCCAGGCAGTCAAGTATGCTAATAGATTCAATATGGGACCCCGTCGAAAATCGGTGAATGGTCCATGGTCCCCATCAAAAAGATTAAGTAACCATTAGTCTACGAATGTCATTGGGGATCCCCTTCAAAATGCTTGGTGGGCGTGTAAATCCCGATGTCCGCCACAGGCTTCCTAAATAGAAATTACACCCATGCGGGTGACAGAAAGAAGTCTTTGTTGTGCCATATGTTTGTTTTAAGCGGCCCTTGAACCAACCCTCCACAGGGCTCCCCCAGCTTTCAATTTTGAGAGACCTGTTGGTTTAAAGCTTTCTTTTTTCTTTTTTCGGGGGGGGGGTTCCCCAGATTTTGGACACGAACCCTATATAAGTGGCTGAAGTATCAAAATGTAGCATGATTTCCGAGAATCGAATCCTGATATATAGGTTGGTTGTGCACTACACCATGCGAACTGTCCAAGCCCTTAATGGCCGGTCTTTTCTGTGACCTTAGCCCAATAGAGACCTTTGAAGCCAAGCCGCTTTTCCAAATCAGCACCCGGGAAGCACACAACTCGTTGGCCCAGTTCGTGGAGTATGAACGTCGGTATACGTCTGCCGAAAGCAGTCTATATCCCTCCCTGGCTCTTAGACGAGGGATTTGCGCGATGAAGGTCCTTGGGTGTTCTTTGTTTCCGGTTTGTGAACTATTTTTGTCAGACTCAGTCGGTGGAACGGTATTATTGCGCACATATCAGAAATACGACCAGCGCAATTTCAGTAATCAAGTTTCGCAGTGCAACCAAACGCTGGGTACAGCTAAACCGTTAGTTGTTTCAAGTTTCATCCAAATTGGAAGGAATCATACCATTGGAAAGGTTTAGACCTCACAAAAAGACCTTGACTACGTCCCAAGCTTAGGGCAGAGCCATTACCTTCCGTCCTGACATGGAACCCTCGCAAGGGTCAGAGCAAATGGCGCTCCGTAGACTGAAACAGACTCTTCCCCGCCTTGATTCAATGACAGACTTACCTGACCGTTTTCAACTTTGTGCCTTTTTAGGTTCCGTCGCTCACTTCCTGAGTTCATGGACTTTAAATTTGCTGGAAGACCATTTTACTGGCAAGCATAAAGTTTGGATTGTTCGGGCCGGTCCACTCATGAAGTGAGTTCATTATTCCTTTCAACCGGCAAACAGTTTAAGGCATTGTTGCTCAAGACCTCCCCGTGAAGATGGTGGCTGGTGCGAACTTGCCCATTACCGGCCCACTATCCTTCGCTCTGAGCCATGTTCGCCCGCGTGTTTGGGGAAGACGCCATCCGCCTGGCTTTCGCTTTCCAGGAATTGTGAAAGAGGCCTACAGGCTTCGGGAGAGTTCTTTAAGGAAGTCTCCTGTCAAAGTCTTGCGTGTTCCCATTTGATTTTGTGTCCCCCGTCCAAAATCAACCTCAAACGGGATCCTGCATTGAAAGCCATTCATCATTCAGTTTAGTATTGGTGCTTTGTTGTGTCCAAAGCTGCTCCGTGTCCCTGCAAACTTGAAAGCAACACGACCATGATCATGGTGAGCAAAACGATAACAAGATGATGCTAGAACTAGAGTTTTTTTACAGAAGTTGCCCTTTGCGCGCCCTTCCTTACATCCCCGCCATTTTCATTGGCTTAAGAAATCATGTTTGAGTTGGGGCTCCCAAACAGTACCTCGTGCGCTACACTTGTAACCGGTTGGGAGGCTCGGGGTGGAGAGCCCAAATTCACAGATTTGCCGCAAAACGACAAAGAACACCACACGGTTTTTTGCCGGCATTTTGTTTTTTCGAGACTCAGGGACGTCTGTTAGTCTTGTCCAGTCAGCATCTGGGCTGCAGCCCCGGCTTCATAGGTCTTCTTCGGCTGCTCCGCGGTCGTCAGTCGTCACATATGGCTGGCTCGTCCTTTTTTTTGCGGCCCCCCAAAAAAACGTGCCTGGCTTTTCCTGTTGGTTTCCCGTCTTAGTTTCAGACCACCCCAAGACGGGACACCTCGAAAAAGCAGCGGGCCACGGTGTTGAAGCGCCTGCAAGGCTCGAGACTTTCGCGGAGGTCATCAAGAGCAAGAACACCTCCTTTGGAAAGAGGCGCCAGCGAAAGCAAGCGGAGCCTTCGAGCCATCGAAACCGATTCGGGTAAAGTGCTCCGGTTAGGGACACTCCCAACCACAGGTAGCTGCCCTTGAAGCATGGCTCTGGGATCGCGACCATTTTAATCACCCGGGTTTTGAGATTATGACTCATGTGCTCTGACTAGCTTGTGGCGAGCCCATGGAACAGAGCCTGTGGTTAGGGATCCGATATGATCCGATACTTCAGGTTTTGGACATATAAAGTTTGCACCGGGCTCCTTAAAAGAGACATCTTGCCCATTTGAAGCATGTTGCTTTTTCCACCAAAAGGGAAACCACCATTGACAAGGCAATGCTAAGGTGTATAATGTAAGGATCCGTTTCAGAATCTGTCGATAGGATCTTCCCGCACCTGATAGGTGGTTCATCCCATTGGGGTTCCATCGATTGCAACAGGTGCGAAATGGATTTCGCCCATCCGCACTGCATCTCCTTCGGGTTGGCAAAAGACGTCTTCCATTCAAGGTGTTGTAGAAGAAAAGTTGCGGAGTTGTGCAAAGCAAAATCACCGGTGTGCTGCTGACCATGCAATCGGTTTGGGACTCACTTGCAGGGTTGGTGGCGGGTATTTCACCGCAATTATGCCACACAATGCGAACGTGCGTGCGTGGGTGTGCGTGCGCGTGTGGGTGTGTGTGTGTGTGTAAGTGTGTGCGTGGGTGTGTGTGTGTGAGAGTTTGTGTGCATGTGGGAGGGCTATATGCGAGTTGATAGGATGGGGTGCACCCGTCAAAATCCTTCGAATGCCCAAGATGCTTTTTACCCGAGATACCCTTCGCAAATGACATGTCTAACCCGTCAAGTAATGCCCCCATCATTATTTGGGGTAATGACCCCGGTTTTAAAGGTTCATGGAGACTGTTGGTACCTTTTTCAACATGCAAAGTAAAGCAATTAATTCAATGAGCCATTCATCCTTGCGTTTTGGGTGTCTTTTGCCTGCGCCCCTGTCAACGTTTCTAGATCTGAGAGGGTTTCCACTACCCCTGCCCTATGTACCCTCTATATATGCGTTATTTAGTGATTGTATACGTACGCGTGGATCGGACGGGTTGGGGAGGGTATTGTCGACCCCATATTAATCAACCCCAGCTTATAACTAGGGGTGCCCCTCTGGGTTTAGTGGGGAATCATCACTTTTGGAGGGGAAACCCCCTATGAACAATGAAACTGGGGTTGATTAGTATGGGGTCAACATTAGCGTTGCTGAGATGGGCCGCGTTGACAGAACCTGTGCTTTATTCGGACTCGACTGGCAGAGTTGGAGCAACAGCCCTCCGAGAAGCAAATTGGGGCGTGTCTTTTTTTGGTGAACCCCTGTCTGGTTGGTGTCCAACAATTTTGGGTCCCAAATATTGAGACAAACCAACTTATCTAGGTGTTGTCCGAAAGGTCCTTGTGATTAGATATAGGGAACCGCGTTTGGTCGGATGAATCAGCCTGCGAAAGATAACATATTCACGACTTCATTTCCTGGACCAGGAAATCTGAGTCAAACATCTTGTGATGGTCACAACTCGGGGGATATTTCATGCGTCTTGATGTTGGTCCAAAACAAGCAGTGGCCCCTGTGTTGCTCATGTTCCTTTACCTTGACCCCGTTTTCCATCAAAAGCTCTGAAGGAGTTGTGGCATCCCGCGCATTTCTCTTACGTGGAACCGCCAGGGGTCTAGTTGCCCAATCCAGGGCCGGTGCCCTGGAGGACGGCTCTCCCCCCCCCAAAAAAAAACGCGTGTCCAAAGTCGGTTTTTTCTGCCTGAGCCCCCGAAACCTGAAGATGGGTAGTTGGGCGAGTTGATTTGGGCAGTTGGAGATTTGGGGAATGCGGTGTACAGAGGGCTTTCAGAACAGGGCTTTCGCATTTCTGCGGAAAGGAAAAAATGAGGTGAAACTGGCGTGCGATGGGCTGACTCAGATGCTGATCTTGCTGGGGTTCGCCGATGTATTCCCCACGTAGTTCAGACCATGGACGGCTTTCAGAGCCGACAGGGCTGCTGGACCCCCGGCAACACGAACTTGTTCAAACAACAAACCCACCTAATTTCCAGCTTCATTTTACCGCTTGCAGTGCGCGTTTGCCTCTTGTAGACTCCACTGTCAGTTGCATTTGATGTAAAGTTTCCGTTTACAAAGGATGCTGCATGTTCCCTCATTGTTTGTATTTAGGGAGGTATGACTGGGCTGATTCGCTAAACATTGCGAGTCAAAAACACAAACCGTGGTGACATTCAGGGATTGTGTTGTTCCCACTCGCTTTGTATATATTCCAGAAATGTTTGGCTAGTGTTTTTCCATGCTTGCTGGAGCATAACCTTTCCATTCATTTAGAACCCACGAGAAGGTCACTTGTGGAGCATAGTCTTCCAAGAGGCTCCAATCAGGTTCCGTATTCGTGGATGGCAGGAGAGGTATTTAGGCTTCCTTATATCACCCCGCCAAGGCATTTCACTGAACAATTGGTCGAAAAGGCGGTGTGTTCCCCTTCCGGAAGTGATGAATTTCCACCAAACGGAGACTCCCCATCAACGTTAACCAGGTTGAAAAGGGCGCGCCTGTTCGATGCATTTTTTGACAGGTCCACGGGAGGCCTCACCTTCATGTCCGCCGACCCGAAGCCCTTCCCATCGGCGGCCGCGCCTCGTTTTATATATATATATATTGTTTTATTGGTTTTTGTTTTTTTTGTCCGACTCGGATCGAATTCAACCCGAAAGAGAGACGAGACACCCCGGGCAATGGGTCCAAAACCTCCGCGAACACAACCTGGCAAGAGTTTTTGTTGGACATGGCTCACCTCTCAATGGGTTCCTCACAATTCGCGAGGTTTCGTAAAACGTTGGTTGACGTTCAAGGTGCAGAGTTCCAAGTCTTTTTCTGGTGGTGAGGGGACCAAAACGTTTTGCACCCCCCCCTCTACTTTTTGACTCTCAACCTTCCTCTCTGATACTGTGGATGGTTGCGAAATCAATTTCGCACCAAAAAATCCAGAAACCCAACGGAGTGATTCGATTCCCCAACGTAAACGCCAACAAACGTTCTGGATTCAACCATGGCTTTTAAAATTTTAAAGTAGTGCGAACGGATTTCGTCCATCCACACTAGGCGTCGGCTTGGGTTGGCCCCTTTTTGTATGGATTGTAGGTTGGATTTCGGATTCTGCATGACCCGCTCACGAGCTTACACCTGCACAAAATATCGAGCTCACCGATCGGCAACAAAAAAAAACTCGGCCATAAAGCACTTCACGTTGGAAGTCCTGATGTCCTTTCGAATGATGGTAGCCATTGTTTGCCCAGATGCTATGTGTGCTTCAGATGCAGTCTTGTACACTGGATCTAACTTATAGACCTGCGAAAAGTAATGTTGACCCCATACTCAACCCCGGTTTATTACGCAATAGGGGGTGGGCGCCCCTCCAAAAGTGGTGTGATTCCCCACACTTCACCTAGGGACGCGTTCCTATGAATAAACTGGGGGTTGATGAAGATGGGGTCAACATTAAGCGTTGTTTGCCCAGATGCTCCCTTTTATTTGAGGTTACTGAGGATGGCCATGGATCCCTTGATAGGGATTTTGGCCATCATACGGAATCCTGCTATATATACGGAGCCCTGAGCATGTCTAACATAAGGAATGTTGACTTTAGCCACATGGCAATGGCATGTCAACAGGTAACCCCCCTTTGTTGTGTTACATAAATCCACCGTGAAAACAATGTTCAAGGGATCAACTGTAAACCCACACTTGTTCGGGAGATATGAAGGCCAGGAACCAATCTTGTTTGTCCGCTTGACGGGGTGGCTTTGATGCTGAAAAAGTACTGGGCCACAGAGGGCTCTTTTCGGGATTCATCGTGGTCTCTCTGGAAGAGAGCTTGCAAATTGTGTGTCAACGTCAATGGGCCCAGGATTCATCAGCACCTGCTTGGTTGATAGGGGATGGCGTCCATTTTTTCCTGGGGACAACAACTAACACTGATTTCCCACCAAGGTTTACCTGGACTGCCTAGTTTAGCAGGTATTATAGCTCAACCTTAAAGCCTTTACAGTCATCTTGGGAGACCCAACAGGTGTCTGCATATTCTGGAGGGTGCGCTTTGCAGGTTGGTTTAAAAGGAACGCCGCAAGGAGGACCGCCTTTTTGGTTCCATATCCTATGTTGGCACCTTCCCAAACGCATTGTGTTTCACAGTCACTTGAACCATTGGGACAATGATGACAGCAATGGTTCATCCACGGGGGGGGGGGTTGTGAACACATGAGTCAGTAAAGCCGTCCCTTTTCCCCTACCTCCAATCATGGAAGCTGACAATAAGACCTTCCTTTTGGGAAAGCCTCCGATGGTCCACTTCCATGTTGAGGGTAGCCCTTCAAATCGGTTGCCGGGGCTGGGACCCGTGCTTGCGGACGCACCCACAGGTGCCGGAGCCCCAAATGAGCAGGCGCAACGGGTCCTTTTGGCCCGGTGAAATAGCCACGAACAAAGGGGGAAGCCTCAAAAGAGACCAGCCACCCATGTGTTGTTCCAAGCGAAATGAACTTTACTGGCGGGGCCCAAATCAAGGACCCTTAGGACATCGTGCCGATAGTGCATTGATTTCCTTCATAGACACAGCTTCAGGGAGTTTTTGCGCAACTTGGAAAAACACCCACCCAATCCAGGCGGGTTTCAGTCGCATTCTGAGAATGAGCCTTAAAGTTGTTTGCCGAGGTGATGCAGCGAATTTTGAGGCACCCCTTGTTCGACCTCATCATGTGCACGGTGATTTTCATCAACACCGTGGTCTTTGCTTTTGAGGCGCAGTATCGAGGCGGGCGCATGCCGAAACGACGCCGTGCTTCCGTGGTTCCCCTACTTTCTGGGACGGTCCTGCAGGTATCACAGCTTGGTGTTTTGTGTTTGCTTGTTGACATTTCGTGGTTGTACCATTCTTCTAGGGGTTGATTCCCCATTCTGTGCAACCATCGCTCTTTTCAAAAACCAGCTGTTTCCCCTGGGGTTCTGATGGTTTTCTGAAAAGAAGGATCTCTGGAAAGGATGGAATTGGGGAAGCGTCCAGTAGAATTCTGCATGGATCATGCCAGGCGGGTGGGCCATCCCCTCAAAGCACGATTGACGAAGTAAGCCGACGTGGTATCGCGACAGCCCTGAAACCTGCGGAGCCCCGCAAAGCTGCCCCAAACCACCCCTTCTCGCCGATTTCTGGCCTATCGACGACCCCATAGCTTTCAGCTGGGAAGAACCTCCTTTGCGTTTGCCGTGGACCAGGGGCGTGTTGGGCAAGGTAGCGATTGAATACACTATTCTTTAGCCATTGCTGGAGGTACGGAGTTTATATATACCGGTTCGTCTCTAGAACGGAAAACAGGCCTTTCTTTGTTGGTTTTCCTCAAGCCAACCCGGCAAAGGGCACCAACTGAAAAGCACACACCCCTATTTACTGAAAGGGTATATTCTGCCGTTTTTGATTCGTATTGCTAAGACCAGCTTACCTGGCTAGTCCGAGCTCACCCATGAAGGAATTCCTTTGCCCGTTTTGTGGATTTTGGAGTTCACCAACAAATGTCCACTCGTCCGGAGGAAAGGGAGGGGTGGGGGCACACGAGCTCTGAATTTCCGATTTCCTTCCACACCGTGGTGGTTGTCCTTTTCGGGTTTGCATGACAAGTGCTGGCACCAGATGACCGTACCTAAGTGCCCTTTTGCCAACTTTTTTGGGGGAGGGGTGTTTCTACTAAAATGAACTACAGAAAAAGTTGGTACCCTTGTTCTAACCACTCTACTGGAGGACCTTACCTGACCTTGCCTTTCTTTCAAAGCCCTACAAATTTTGGGGGCGCCCCCCAAAAAGCCGAGCCAGCCTCGAGATGTGGGGTCTTCTTTTACGGAAGAGCCATGAACCTGAGCCTTTGGACTTGTTGTTATTTTTGCAATCAATGAAAAAACAAGCAAAACCAACCAACCAAACAAAACCAACCAACCAAACAAAACCAACCAACCAAACAAAACCAACCAACCAAACAAAACCAACCAACCAAACAAAATCAACCAACCAAACAAAACCAACCAACCAAACAAAACCAACCAACCAAACAACCAAGCAAACAAAACCAACCAACCAAACAACCAAGCAAACAAAACTAAACAAACAAAACAAAACTAAACAAATCTAAACAAAAAACACTAAACTAAACTAAACTAAACCAAACAGACAATTCACACTTTCCTGTCAGGGCTGCACATGGCCAACACCCTGGGCTACCCGGGGGCGCCGGACACCTCCAACCTTTGGCCTGGGGCGGAGGAGATTCGATCCGCGATCTCCGGTTGATCCGTCGCTTATGTCCCCGAAATCCCATGGGGGTGGTCAAAAGGAGGTACTCCAAGCCTCCTTCTGACCCGAAAAAAAATAAAATAGGTCCACCCCATGATTTAGGGCAATGGCTCAATGAGCAACCATTTTGGAAGGGTCATGGAGACTCTAGGTACCCCGAAAGAGCCTGGTAAATGGAAACATAGACCAACATCTGCGGCCCCCTGGTGGTTTGATTTTGATCCATACCCAAATCGCACCACGAGGTTCCGAAACCCAACGGAAGGATTCGGTTTTTCGGCATATACCAAGAAACGGAATGGGTTCCCCTGTTTTGGAAGCCATGCTTAATGGCCCAAAAAATATGTCTGGGTCCTTGCAAGTGAGGTCGAGGGGTCTGGATGCGAAATGTCCAAGGATGATCAACAAGGCTCTTGTCGTCCCTTTGGTTATCCAAGTCATCCCTACTGCGGATGGATGAAGTCTGTTTCGCACCAAATTGAAACCATGGTGGAAACCATTGTTTGTTGGAGTCCCCGTTCTGGACGGTTCTGGAGACAAGCCGGAATATACACTTTCAGTGATATGGGGTGTGTGATTTTCAGTTGATAAAAAGGGTTTGGCTTGAGGAAAACCAACAAAGAACTGCTTGTTTTAGGGCTCTGTTGAGTTTCTGAATTTTGTTGTGTGAAGCGGATTTCGCAACCATCCACAGGGCCTTGGTGGATTTCATGGCAACGTCAGGGTCATGGGGCTGGGAAGGGAGGGAGGGGGAGGGAGCCCAAATACGCCCTTAAGCCCTCAAGGCCTTGTTTCGGGCTTAAGAAGAAACCCTTCCATCCCCCCCTCCCCTCCCCTCCCTCCCCTTCCCTCCCCTCATTCCCTCCCCTTCCCTCCCCTCCCGCAGCCCAGCCCCCATGACCCCGACATGTCCGGCGAAGCGCATCGCTGGTGTTTTCAGGAGGTCTTCGAGGTGCTGGAGCTCTTCTTCGGCGTGATCTACACCTGCGAGGCCCGAAATCCCACGCGCCCCCCACCCCTCCCACCCCTCCCACCCCTCCCACCCCTCCCACCCCTCCCACCCCTCCCACCCCTCCCACCCCTCCCACCCCTCCCACCCCTCCCACCCCTCCCACCCCTCCCACCCCTCCCACCCCTCCCACCCCTCCCACCCCTCCCACCCCTCCCACCCCTCCCTCCCACCCCTCCCACCGCTCCCACCCCTCCCACCCCTCCCACCCCTCCCACCCCTCCCACCCAAGGGGGTGGACCATCATTTTCGTTTTTTGGGTGGGGGGCTCTCTATATCAATCACCTTTGGCAATTTCCGGTGGGGGTGTTATGTCCATCAACAGTTTTGGGCAAGGACGTTCTCTCTTGAAATGAGTGGCCATAGCTCTGATGATGATGGTAGGAACACGCTAAATGCGAGGTTTGGGGTGCTGCACGTGTTGCCAAGCCGAGATGCCAAACTCCTCTTTTGGAGGCCTGTGCAGGAAACCCAGCAGGGTTAGGGCCAGAGTTCTTGATCCAAGTTGCATTGGCGGCGCAAAGAATCATGGGCCAGAAGAGGTTTTCACTGAGAAGAGATCCCCCAAGTACTGGCCCAAGTTGCCATCTACTGGATGGCAACCACTCCCTCAGTTCCTGGACTTTTTAAACTTTTTGGGAAGACCATTTTGGTCGGAGAAAAAAGGAAGAAAAACAAAACTAGGGGTGACTTTTTTGGCCAGCCCAGGGTAAGTGGCTTATAACATTGCCAGCCACTTCGCTAAGTCCCTGAAGGCAGAGATCCCCCCTTCCTGTAAGCTATGAAGAGACTAGGTGCGCCATGGTCAAAAGTCAAAGCTGCGCGTGACACACCTCTTTAAAACACACTTTGGCCTTAAAAGCACGGGTAGAGGGAGCTGCAAAAGGCTACCCTTTTCCATCCTTACTTTTTGATCATTGAACATTGTGTGAACCAAGCGTTTGCTCAGCAGGTGTTGCTGAACATTTGATTGTGTTGCTTGCTTGGCCTCTTGGGCTGGGCTAGCTAGGCTGGGCTGTGGGAGTGTGGCCTGCTGGCTGGGCTGAGCTGGGTTGTTTGGCTGCTGTCCAGTATACTAAACGATGGGCTTTTTTGCTGGCTGGATGGTGGGCTGGGCTGGCTTCAATTGGATTGGCTGGCAGAGCGAAACAGCAAGTGAGTATTTTTTACGATTGGAAGCCGGGTGGGGTTGCGTTTTCACGTTCATTTGCTCTTGCGCTGCAAAAAGTGTGTCCAGGAGGCGCGGCCCAAAATCAGGAGTTTGTTAGCATTTGTTAGCATGTGTTAGCACTTGTTAGCTTGTTTTTGTAGTTGTTGCTAGTTTGTTGTAGCTTTTGTTACGTTTCGCATGGCTGCCTTGTGGGCCGCCATCGTAAGAGATGTAGCCAAGCGCTCAAGCGCTGCGAAATGGCGACATGGGTTGTGAACGTGTGAAGGTTGGCAGTGAAGCGCCGTCGGGAAACATGGGCGATGTTAGTGTTGTCTACTGACGTGCATCTGCAAAGGGGCAGGTGAAGATTCTTTGACACACACACACACACACTCCATGCGTCTCCTCCAACCTTGTGAAAAACAGTAAGGTTTGCAAAAGGCTTTAGTTAGCCTTTTGTAGCTTTCTGTGGCTGATTGTAGCTTGCTGTAGCTTGTTTTAGCTTTCTATAGTTTCTCATGGGAATTCGTTATCCCCTTCAGTTCGGGCCAAACTCTCGAAGCGGGCTGTTCCAAAGCGGTGTGTTAGGTGGTCGAATGAAAAATACTGGTTCCTTTGCTCGGGATGAACAGCGGTCATCCACCTGGTGAGGAGTCGTTGTAGTGGTTCCTATTTCGGGAGCCCTGACCACTGGCCACAAAGGGAGTTTTGACCACACAGGTCGTCTTCAAGCTCTTCGTCATGGGCAAGCAATTCTGCCGGAACCTCAGTTCGCTCCTGGACCAAGCACCCGAACCCCTGACACGCACCGCGAAGAACATAGGCCAAGATACTCGGTTGTTATTTGGGGATGGCAGCAGTCTTACGATGAACCAGGGTTCCACTTTGTGACTACCTAGAGTCTCCATGACCCTTGAAAAATAGCGCGATTCCCCGAAATTTTCGGGTCAACCCATTTTTAAAGCGGTCATGGAGACTCCAGGTACTCCGAGATGGACTTCAACCCAAGGGTTTCGCTTGGGACATCAAGGGGGATGGTTACAGGCTGGTGGCAGTTTTATGATGAAGTGCTCTTTGGCCGCCCTTCGACCTTCCTTGTGCAAGGGCTCGGTGGTTGTTTTGGCAAACAGTTGTTTAACTGATAGCCGAGCTTCGGGATCAGGACATGGGCGTGTATTTGTTTGCAGGGACGCCCGGACATGTTGTGTTTTGTTCTTCTGGTTTCCCTTTAAAACCACAAAAAATGGGCACCCTTTCAAAAGACAGACCATGTTATTTCCAGTTGATTAATAACACTTTATGCTGATCGTGTTGGGTCAAACGATTTTGTTTCGCGTCATTTCATGGGGACGCGGTCCCGCATTGACTTGAGGTGATGTTGGTGTTTTCCCCGGTTGATTTCATGGTTGTTGTTGGGAAACATTTTACATTTTTGCTTATTGTGGTTTAGTGCTTGAAATCCAACCACGTAACTGCTAAAATCTGAAAACAAATTGCTCCCCTTCCAACGTCAACAATGATTTCGGCATCGTCAAACGTGCCGCACATATGGCTGTGAACTGTCAGTGGGAAAACCCGCTAAAAAGTGGTTGGTGTACATGTATCCCGACCTAACTGATTTGCACCCAAGGGTTCAACATGACGAGTTTTTGATTGTTTCACCCATACTCTATCTTTACTCACTTGCCCAAAGCGAATCGACCTTTTGACCTTTTGGTTTTCCCATTTTGGTCCATTTTTAGTAAAGGTCCCAAAAGGTTAACCTTGTATTTCCAGGTCTTTGAGCCTATGAGAAGTACATGGGACGTTATGTCCACCCAATTTTGGAGGCTCACAAAAAAGAGATTCGAGGTACAGAGCAACGCATCCATGTGTTCTTTCTTGTAAAAGGGGTTTCGTCCACATCTGGGGAGCCCATTGTGAGGTTTCATGGATTGGTTGCTTCAGATGGGCTTGGTTTGACTGGTTGCCTTGCGGGGATGCTTAAAGCCAGCTTCGGGCTGCGCGGACTCTAAGGGATTGCCTGTATCTGAACTTGGCGGTTCAACCAGCCGTGCAGTTCCTTGGGTTTTGAGCCGCAATTCGTTTGGTTTAGTGGGGGGGTGGGGTTCGGAATTCCAGCCACAAGATAACATGGTTTGTTGGGAAACATGTAACATGTTTGCTTACTGTGGTTTAGTTTTTGAACGTCAACCACTGAAATGCTAAAATATGAAAATGGTTGCTCCCTTCCAACGTCAGCCAAGCTAAACTTTTTGCAGGGGATCAGTTTGGACCACTGAGTGAAAATTAGAACCCGGAGAACTTCACGGAGAGGGAACTCTGACAAGCGGCCCATCGCGCCGCCGTGGGTCCGAGGGTGAGAACGAAGCCCTTTTTCTGTGGGCGGGTCTGCTTTTGATGGGAACCCCTTGTTTTGTTTGGTGATTTTTCTTTAAACAAAAAGTATTTTTTGGGGGGTCATTGTTTTTTCTCCATTTTTTGGTTATGTTCTTTTCGGGGGTCCAAATTTGTTCGGTGGCCCATTGAAGGTATTTTCTGTAAAGGAAGCCCCCTTGGGCAGCACTAGGGCTGAAATTGCAGTACCCCCCCTCCCCCGTACCTCCCCGCACCACTCCCTTGACTCACTCCGTGAGTTCATGGACATTTCAAACATACTTTTGCCGAAGATCATTTTAGTCACAGACAAAAGCAGCTTGGCTACAGTTTTGTTGGTCCACTCAGGAAGTGAGGTTGAGCACTTTAGCACTTCCTTACCTCTTAAAAACACAACTTTTCAACTTTTTGGGTAACATGGGCTATATGTCTATAAAAGATTAACTTCCCCAGGGCTTGGAGTTTTAAGGGGTAAGCTTCCGAGGGCTCCCTAGGACCTTGTAGGGAGGGGGATTTGAATCAGGTTTCGATGCCTGGAACTGGATCGACGCTGCCATTGTTCTCACTTGGCTCAGCGGCAAGGCTCGCCGGAAACGGGGAAGAGTTCCCGGGCGCTAGAAATCTGACGCCCGAGTTCCTGGGCCGTACCTATAGAGTCTCCTTCTGACCCTTGAAATATGGTTGGTGATTTCCCAAAATTTTGGGGTCATTGACCCATTTTTGAAGGGTCATGGGGACTCCAGGTAATCACTTTTTTGGTTTGGACCTTGTTCGGTGGGAAACAAACATGTTTGGACCTTGTTGTGTAGCCCATGCACTCAGGAAGTGAGTCAAAATAGGACTGCCCCATGGGCGAAATGTCCTTTGCTTTCCCTTTGAAGCCGCCCAACTATTTTACGAGCAACACCCATTTGTGTGGGTGTGCTGTTATGGCATTCATGAACACTTGCTGGTTGATTGATCTATTGATCTCTGGGTGTCGCATTTGAGATCTGAATCCTTCAATGAGAACTCCCCCGTAGCAATGCACCAGGATGCACCAGTTTGATTCGTCCGTGGACAACGAACCTCATGTAAGGAACCCCGAAGTCAACACAAGTTCGGCCTGCACCCTCAAACTCCCCATGTTCAAGGGCAGTTTGAGGATCCAGGTGAGAATCTCAGACTTTATGACTATTTGGTAACGGAATTTTTGGTCTTTATCTTTTTGGGAAACAGGCCGTATTGGACCCACGAAATGTTGAACACTTGTTGCAGAGGGGTCCTTCCAGCACCCAAGCTTTCCACAGCTGCCGCCATCCTTTCCAGGGATCCGATTTTGCACATTGCACCCAAAAAAGTGGCCCTCCTCAAGCCAGTGTACCGCAGTCCTTTCTTCCAGCAAGGTCACTAGCAACAAATTTCCCTACCTTTTTGCCAAAACTCCTGGACCTTCCGTTGCTACATAAACGTGTGTCACGAAGCACCCAAGGGACAAATTGATGTAGCGAATGAAGGTCCAGGCTGGGAGTTGAGGGCCTCGGTTTGGATGTTCTGTATGCCTGAGTCTCCATGACCCTTTAAAAATAGGTCCATCACCCCATTATTCAGGCTGAGGACCCCATTTTTAAAGGGTCATGGAGACACTAGGTGGTTCTCTCAGGACCCAAGAGAGCCGATCCCTCGCAGGCGTCGCATGCGTCGAGATCGCCAGGTGCTGGGTCGGTCCATCCCGGTGAACTCGCAGGTCTTGCGACTGCTGCGAATGGCACGGCTCATGCGCTTGCTGCGATTGGCGCCCTGGGCGCAGGTTTTGAAGAAATCAAGTTTTGTGCAAATTCCTGAAATGGGGTTTCTGTGTTCCTTGTTTTGGGGGGAAAGCCTTTAACATCTTTTTTGGGAGGGGGGGGGGGGCTTTTTTGAGACCAACAGGAACACCCACGATTTTGGAAATTGCAACCGCAAAAAAGAGACCCCCACGGCCAAACGGTTTTCCTTAGGCTTTCCTCCCCAGTCTTGTAGCCATAAAAAAAACAACAACAACCCATATGGCTCGCCTTTTGCGTCTCGGTGCCCGTTTGGGGGTTGTTGAAGAAGGGAAATCAAAGCCAGACCCCATGCAGTTACCAGGACAGCATAGTAGGTAACCACCAACTTTAAAGTTCCCTTGGATAGCTACCAGACAGTGAAATGGAATCTCTGGGAAAGGGACTGACATCCTTGTTTTTTTTTGCACTGGCTCACAGACGGCAGACGGGGAAGGATTCAGAACCTGTTTGGGTTCTGAATGATTGATGGAGCACCATTGTTGGAAGCCGCTTCAAAAAGTGAGCCTGAAAGGGGGGGGAAATGATGTGTCTTGTTGTTTTTTGCCGAGCGTGTCGCTCCTGAACGCTGGGAAACCCGTCGCTCCCGAACGCTGAACAACATCGCTTCGGAACGCCGGAAAAACGTACTAATCGCTTCAGCGCGCTGGAAGCACAGCCACATGCCACGCGCTGCGCTGAGACACCGGCGAGGGCTTCACTCTTGAGCGTTGGGGGCATTCATGCGTCCATGCGCCCACCTGCCCACGGGCCCCACGCACTGCTCGCACCGCTTCTGGATGTTTGTTTTCGCAGCGGGTCCATGCGCCCACGCACGCAGGCTGGTTTGGTTCGGGTATGCTTAGCACCCCCCCCACCCCACACCCAGGCTGCGCTGAAGCAGTTCAGCGGGTGTGCTTATCATGCCCCCGCCCCCCAGGACCAGATTTTTTTCCCCAACAGCTGAAAGCTTTGGGGTCTCAGCCCAGATAAGCTCCGGGGTAGTCCGGGGCAGCCCTGAGGTAAGGTTCCACGAGGTTTCCACGAGGGTTCCACGAGGTTTTGCGAGGGCTGCGGGGTGGTGCGAGCACTAAAAAGAGCACCGCATGCTGTTGGGGATATCACCCATTATTTTTTTTTAAACTTGGCACCTTATTTTGCACAACCAGCAATTCCGGGGTCCCCCCTAAAAAAAAGACGCCCAACTGGCCGAGTTGGGGCCCGCCTCTGGGAAGTCATTTGGGCAGATGGTCATCATACACCAACCGAATCGGACACCGGGGGACAGGAACCGGTTTACTTGAACACCTCAATCCGAGCTTTCTTCGGAAGGTTTGTGGAGATGTGTCCTAGACACACTCAATGAGAACGATCTTGCCCTGACGCTGGTTGGTGATTCCATGGTTTTTCGGATTATGTGTTTTGCATGATTCGACCCGGACTGCTGAACGCCCGAGCGAGCGGGAGTTGCCGTTGCTGGCCCAACTCTGGACTTTTGATTTCTTGGGATGAGACCAAGCCGGAAAGGGATCCCAAGCACCCATATGCCCGATTGGTTAAGTTATGTTCCTAACCTGGAGGTAAGATGTGTCACTCCTTGTGATTGAGGATTCCTTCCTTGATCCCTCTCAAGACTGCCACTTTGGTGCACTGAAACAAGCAGATCGTGAGCTGATCCGTTGACGAGTTGACGGGAAATAAACGTCGAGGCAATCACATGTGGATCCCGGCGATGTCAACGTCATTGTGTGACCGAATGTGCTTCGACCCTCGAAGTGATATTCAGCAGTCACGAAGTTGGCCTCGCAAGTAGGGGATGTTCAAATCCAGGCCGCGAGTCTGTCCATCTAAAATAAACACAAGTGCCCCAATTTGTTCTGAATCTGTGGTCAACGAAACCAGAAGGAGCTCTCAGCCACGGTTGCGTGCCAAAAGGTGAGCCATCGATGTAGCCATGGCGACCATTGAGAACAGGTTTGAGACTATGTGTTTTACCAATCTTCCCACACCCTGGGGTTCAGTTGCCACCATCAAACCAAAGGGGTTGCCATTGTTTACCCAAGGATTGTCATCATCCAGATTGGTCCTTGCCATTCTTTATGTGGGGGTTGAACCCTAGGGCACAACTGTTCCTTCATACAAGGCTTCAGGGCAAATAGCCACGAATCCCAGGAGTTCTTTAAGTACGCACTGCAGTTGCTGATTTGTGTGCCTCAGGTTCGTCGAATTCAGCAGTTCGATCACTTGCCACCTGGCAATAGTTTTGAGCTTTGTACTCAGACTTCCCACTCGCTCTTGCCTGTACACAGGAGTTCTATTCCCCTACGGGTCCGGATGGAATTGGGATGAATTTGCGACATTACTTACGGAATCGAAATCCGGGTTCTGCATACCATGCCCCAAGACCCTCAGGGTAGTTGAACAGAGGGAAGTGTTCATTACTCTCCATCCGCCCGGACCCGAAAGCCTTTGAGAGGTTTGGCTTTCGCCCGTACAACGCCAGATGGGTGTGTCTTTTTGTTGGGGTCACCTGTTTGGGGTTTGATTTAAAGCGATATAACCCATATTTCGTCGGGTGCTGGTTAGCATTTGTTTGCTTGCCACGACTCGTCGAGCATGATTTCTTGACGCGGAGGTCCGCCGCTAGGGACTTGCATATAGGTTCCTTTTGGCTTCCCGTCCCAACAGAACACCCCCTAGGTCCCCCAGCTACGTGCCCTTTTGCCAACTTTTTTTGGGGAGGCTTCTCTACTAAAACAGACTACATAAAAAAGGTAATTCTAACCTCTCTACTGGAGGACCCAGCCCCCGCTGATTGCTTTGAGTTTTGCGTGCGCCTTTCCAAGTTGGACTCATTCTCCGGCCCGCCGTTGGTGCCCTGCTTTCCTCCCATTGGGTGGTTTCCCTTTGAAAACGACAAACAAACAACGTGGGGCTGATCAATACCTTCGGCCCTCAGTTCTGACCATGGGTAGCTTTGCCCATGCGGGAATCATCATCCTTGTGGTTTTCCAACCAATGGTCACCCTATGTAAAGCAGAAGGGTCAGCGCAAACCGATAGGTTCATGACCATTTGTTAGTTGTCTTCGAGGGTGTCTCTCTGGGTGAGACCAAATTTGTTCATAGGGAATCCAAAGGCGGAATGTGGCTCGGTCAAGTTCTTCCTTGTTCATCTCACAGGGAAACCTTGAAAGGGGGCATGTGCTTTGCTCAAGTTGTTTCTTGTTCTCAAAGGGACACTTAGAACTAACTTCCTGAGTTCCTGGACTTCATACTTTTTGTCAAGACCATGTAATTGGTAAAACAAACAAAAGTTCAGACTTTTTCTGGCCCATCCACTCGATGGGAAGTGAGAAAAGGGGGAGCATGTCTTCCAGGTTTTCAACCCATTGTTTTCAGCCCATGCGCCTTCAGCTTCACCCAAAGATGCCAAAACAAACACTTCCCATGTTTTGGGTTTAAAACCTGAAGGGTGAAGGGTGAAGCTGAAGAAGGTTTTTAAACGCCTTCAGCTTCACCCGCTTACCATGTTTTTTGGGTTTAAAACGTCTTTTTTTCCAGACCCATGCGCCTGGACTCCTGGACCCACAGATCCAAACCTAAGAATCAAGCCGCAGTGGTGGTCAAAACCGTTGTGGATCGGATCCCATTTTGGTAAGTGAATTCACCGCCCATTTTAGGCTTCCTACTTTGGTGGTTGGGTTGAATCGGAGGTTCACTGGGGGTACGATTTGGCTTTTGGCTTGTGGATAAGCCCATGGCCAAATCTCTGAGGTTTATGATGACCACGGCCATCCGGGGCTCCTTCGGGATCTTAGCCTGGACCTCCGCGGTGCTCTTCTTGGTGCACATGATGCTCGCGCTGCTGGTGCAGCAGTGGCTCTTCTACTTCTACTTCGAGGAGAAAAAGTGAACAAGTGGATGTGGTTGTCAAAAGTAGGGTAACCCCAACATGGCTTGCCCTGGTAAAAGGAAACATGGGCTGAAACCTGCGGTCCAATTCCTGGTGACTGATTTTGATCCAATCCCAAGTGGCAGTTGGTTGACCTAGGTCCAGCAATTGGTGCCCTTTCTCTCCGTTGGTCTTTTGGTTGGGAGGGTGCCCCTACTCAAATTGACTACAGAAAAAGAGAAAAACGGAAAAAATACCCTTTTTCTAGCCTCTTCACTGGAGGACCTAGGTTCGCTCGGGGTAGGAGCCCGAGAAAAACCAGGCACGAGCTGGTTTCCTTTGAGAAGGGAGTCACCAAACGTTTCATTCCCAACGACCAGAAGAAAGCACGGATAACACGCCAGCAACAGACAAGTTCCAGGGTGGCCTCTTGAAACATATGTCGGATCGGTTGAACGTTGAACAAAAGAAAGACAACTCCTGGGCCGTTCAAACAATTCCATCCTTGTCTTGGGTTACGGCAGGGGTCCCCTTTGTGGCCTCCCTATGCTCATGAGTATAGGGATTATGGACTAGGACTTGGCCTACCCTCCTTTTTGACCACAGAAAACACAATCAGGATGGCCTCTTGAAAGAGATGCCGGATCGGTTGAACGTACTGTATGTAAAATCACTGTATGTAAAATCGCGGCTGCTACTCAATGGCTGCTCACTGGCTTGTGAAGCTAAGTGGCAAGCATTTTGGGGCCATTTGACACTCGCCCCCCGAATCAACTTAGGTGCATCGATCGCATGTCCCCGAACTGAAGGATTCCATGTCAAATGGCTTCATTTCCCAATCCTGGGTAATGTTTTGGCTTAAACAGTTTTATGGGATTGTGGGGTACTTCAAAACAACATAAGAAAAACATGTGTGATTAGGTCGCCTTTGATATTGCTGTATCGCCTGTGTACAAGTTGCTTTTGACATGGGTTCGCGATGCAATCAAAGGAACGTCAGTATGACTGGTGAGTACTCCGTCTTTGATTCTAGGAAACGGGGACAAACAACAGGCGGCCGAACATACCGAAATTGGGGTTGGCTTTGTTTTGTCAGTTTGTTTGGTTGAGCCAAAGAAGAAAAACCGAACGGAGGGATGAATCGTAGGTGTTGAGATGTGCATGGGAACGTTGCGGGCAATTTTCGAGTTTGTGAAACACAACGCTGTTCAAGGCCCCCGGTAACATGCGGGACTATCTTCGAAGAGCTTTTGTTTTCGTTTTTTTTTGGGGGGGGGGGGGTGTTCGTGTCATCATTCTTTCAATTTGATCTATACTGGTTTCCACACATGGTCAACAGGCTTGAAATATCGTATTTGTGCAATTATGAAAACCAACTGGGGGCCGCCATGCTACTTTGTAAAATGAGCACCAATATGGGACCACTATTCCCCTCTCATCTACCAACGTGGAACATGACTGAAGGGCCCAAGACCGTGTCCTCCAGGGATCTTTGGTGGGTTGCGGACGGAAGGGGCCCAAACTCTTCGAATGGGGTGGTACCATATCAACACAAATTTTCTCAGCGTCAAAGAATGATTGTACCTCGACCCTCAAACTTCCCTTAAACATGATTGGATTCACCTTGTAATTTTGGGGCAATACCCAATTGGTTGGGATAGTTTGAGCGGAATGCCGTCGAGTATTGTCCGTTGCTCCAGGATCCGGCGATGACGCTGGAGGATAAGAATCAGGCGTGGATGAGTACGAGACCCGGCCCATTTTTACAGCCTGCTCCAAATTTCAGGGAGAATTCGTATTCTGAAGGAGGTGTTATTGTTTTTGTTGGAGGGATGTTTCAGGTGATCCTTAGTGGGTGGTTGGTGAGAGCTGAACAATATTATTCCCTCCTGTTGAAGATCTATGCCACGGTCAAAGCGCGACTTGACTCGGGGTTGGCACTGTAGGGATCTTAGCCAACCTAGGTCCCCCAGTAGTGCCCTTTACTTTTTTTGGGGAGGGTTTCCCTACTAAAACAGACTACAGAAAAAAGGGTGCCCTTATTCTAGCCTCTCTACTGGAGGACCTAGCAGCTGTATCCATGATGCAAGTTCCCTTTCAGAGAACCCTGACTCGTGACCATCGCCGACACGGAACTCAGATTATGTCAAATACAAGGCTAGGATGAATACATCTCCTGGCACAACCCCAATCTTCCGCCTCGCAGCCTTCACCATGTCTTTCGTTTTCGGGCTTCTTTCATTGTAGTTTGTTGTGTTGTGTTGAACAAGCGTACGAAAAGCTGACAAAGTTACTGATATGGTCTACTGCTTGTTTGGACGAGACCCCAGCAAAAAGATCATATGTTTAGTTTTGCCGCCTGAAAAAGAACACGTCCTGCAGTTCAAGATGGCTTTATCCAGAGGTCGTGTTCTTTTTTTCCTTTTCGGGTCTGGCGCCAGATCTTCGAGTACTTTGGCACCTTCAGCCGCTCGTTGCTCACCTTCTTCGAACTCACCTTGGCCAACTGGGCCGTGCCCACCCGCGTCATGGTGGAGAAGGTGAGCGAATGGCCCCGCGGCTCTCGCTGAGCGCTTTCCACACCGACGGCAGCTTATTAACTTATCTAGGTCCACCAGCAATCGGTGCCCTTTTATTGACCTCTTTTTTTTTGGGGGGGAACCCTTCCCCTACTAGAATAGACTACAGAAACAAGTTGGTAGCCTTATTCTAAGCTCTCAAATCTGGAGGACCTAGTTATTCACAGACTCGGACGAATTGGTGTCCACTTTCTTTGCTCCTGTTCATGCAAAGGTTCTTGAGTCTGTGGGCTTTCGCAGCTAGCAGCTTGAAGTCCACCTTGCCCGCGGAATCTTTCGAGCGCCTCCGGCGTGGCGCTGAAAATAATAATAATAATAATAATAATAATAATAATAATAAAACACATCAAAGCCAATCTTGCGGAACAGATGCGGATAAGTTTGGGCGATGTGGAATTCAAGTCATGGTTGTTGTTGGGAAACACTTTTCATTTTTTTGCTTATTGTGGTTTAGTGGCTGAAACCCCCACTTAACTGCTAAAACTTTTTTTGCTCCCCTTCCAACGTCAACCAAGAAATGAAGGCCATGACAGACTTGATGTGATGTTGCCCCGTGCCAACATGATCTGCGGATGTTCGCGCGCCTGAAGATGTTTCTTCTTTGCCCTCCGTATGTTTCAATCCAAATGCCTCGTGGAATCCTGGCAGTTTGACTCTCGACCAAGTGCAGCATGCCAGGGTTTCCGGGCCCTTTGTTTACCTACTTGCGACGGATCCGTAGGTTTTAAGCTCTGTACACTTCCATTTGCTGAAACTACTATTTTCTTATTTCCCCTGTTGCCGGCTGGTTTTAAAGGGAATCAGTCTCACTATGGGAAATCTTGTTTTATTCCAGGGGGCGGAACAGCAAACAAAAGCCTCAATGAGGTCCATGCTGCTTTGTGTGATCCACAAGCTCACGGTGGGCTTCGCAGTGATTGGTGTGATCAACGGCGTGCTGATGCAGGAGACATTCAAAGTCGCCCACACGGATGACTTGGCATCTAGGCTGATGTCTACTTGGGGCTTCTTTTTTGCGAGTTAGTACCCCTTGTTTGGGAGGGTTTTGAAGGGAATCCAACAGGAACACAATTTGGGAAATCAAAACGAGGCACCCGCATCAATTGCCTGGGTTGGGTTGGTTGGACTCTTGGAACAAGTGGGTTTATGGGCTGTCTCACTTGGTGAACATTAGGGCACCACCGCCCCAAACACGGGTTTAGCCCTGTGCCCAATAGCAGTACCTCCAGAACCGAGCAAGGTGCCTGACGACCACAAGGTCTGCTGATAGTCGTTCGATCTGCTGACATACTCTTTTTGTTCTATTAAAACCTCTCTCGCGGTTTTAAAGGGAATGTGTGACTGGACATATGTATTTGTTTTTCGTGGGACTTCCGCAAATGGACGTTTTATTGGCCTCTGGCTGAACAATTGGGCCCCTCCCTCCCCGGATGCCCAGTTCATAGAAAAGCACCAACCTTTGGTGTCCCCAGTCCTTCCGGTTGAGCCATGCCCAACTGGGTTTGTCTCAAAATAGGGTACCCCCCTCAAAAACAAGGACAGGTGTTCTTTGCTTGGTGGCTCCCAGCCATCCCCTTAGCTTTTTAGTTTAGTGGTAGCTTCCATTTAACCCACTAAACATGGTTGTAGTTGAGAAACATTTTACATTTTACATTTTAACTGCTAAAAAATAAATTGTTTGCTCCCCTTCCAACGTCAACCAATTAAACATGAGTCACTTTCAGCGGGGCATCCGAAAACGGGCAGCCTAGCTTTGACTGCCCTTTTGTTCAAACCCAACAAAGGGTACCTTTTAAAGAAACACACCCGCCAGCCCCCCGAAGTTCTGGTAGGTGATGCTGCGAACCAAGCAGAAGGCCGTGGCCACGCACGTGGACAAGATGCGGCACTTCTTTCAGGAGGCCAAGTGTGCCATTTGTTTACTTCCTTTTGCTTAATAATATTTAATATGTTTCCCTTGTTGGTTTTAGAGAGAATCTATCACTACTGGACATATGTTGTATTTTGTCCACAGGGCTTAAGCAAACGGAAGTTTAAGGGAGGTTGTGCAAAAGGTTTTGGTTGCCAGCTTTTGTGATAGCAAGGACTGTTCCGGAAAAGGGAACCAGGGGGAGATTCGTCGGGTGGGGCCTTTTGCGAGTGGTGGGGGGGAGGGGGAAGGGGCTTACTTATGCCGGGAGGCAAATCTAAGGCTTGATTCATTCCAGGAAAATGCGGCTAAACCAAGGCTGAGGTGGGCAAGGGACTGTTTCTGCACATCAATGCTGCAGGTATACACAAGAAAGCCACAAGGTAAGCTATGAAAGAGCAAGGCAAACCAACCCAGAGCCCTAAGGAGTCAATCTTTGAACTTATCCCTGTTGACTCCCACTATTTGTTTCAATCGTTTAGCCTTTGGCTCCAGCAGCAAGGGTTTCTTCTTGGGATACCACCTGGGCTTGTTTCACATGGCTTCTTCACAAAAAATGTTCTTGGCTTCCTTTTGTTCAATCGGAGTACCTTGCACATTGACGTGCAATCCCAAACAATTTGTGTCGAGGAGACTTCTTCTGGGATGCATGTCCGCTGGTGAAATATAGTAACTTGCCCAGACATGTGTCATGACTGAGCTGTCCACAGCGTTCATCGTGTTGAGTGGATGTTTCTCTTGGGCCTTTGCGCCCGACTCACAATTCAGAGTTTCAACAGGGGCTGTAAACTACAAGGGTCCGATGGAATTTGGGACACAGAAATCGCTCCTCTGGGTCCCCGATATTTCCCCTTTGGAATTCATCCCCTCCCCCTGAATTAACTAAGTGGTAACATCGCCCCATGAATTCATCAACCTCACCCCGCTGGTAGGCTAAAGGGAAGCCACCGCGATTCGATTCTGACTGGAGAACTGACCCCAGTGGGCCAATTTGAAGTGAGTCTCCTTTTGGTGGGGTGCAAGCGGGCGATTTTTCCACCAGATTCTCACGAACGGCGCCTTCCGTTGGGTGACTTTGTTCTTTTTCCAGACCTTCTGCTTGGAGTCAAGGGAAGCCACAAGGAAAGCAACCGCATTTTTTTGGGGGGGGGTTCCCTTTGCAACCATAAAAAAACGATCAGCCGAAAAATGTGGGGTTCGATTAAGAAGACAAACAACATGAAGGCGTTCCAGTTGCAAATGAGAGGCCACAAAAGACCAACGGGGCACCCTGCTTGGATGAGATCTGTCGGTCTTGGTGAGTCGGTACTTGCTTTTTTGGTGGTTTCAACAATTGGAAGCCAACACGAAAGTGTTCAAAGCAAGACTCCGGGTAGATTCGATAGATTCATATACCCCTGGTTGATTGCTTGGGCGAGCCCAGACACAAGCCACACTGCAAAAGGGTGAGCTCTCCTCTCCTCAAGTTGTGAGCAATCCTACACGTCCCACTCAAAATGGCGGCTTTCCCCTTTGGGTTCCCTTCAAGCCAAGGTGGCAAGAGTACCCTCAAAAACAAACACACGCACACACACACACACATACACATACCCTGGGGTTCGGGGGCCTTAAAAAGAAAGGCCTTTAGGAAGAGGCCGTGAAATGTGGGGAACGTCCTTTGTTTGCAAGCTGGACGCTTTTAATTGGGTTGACAGTTTTGTGTTGGCCGCATTAGTCGCCACATGGCTTTGCAGTGCTTGTGGCTGAAAAGTACGCTTTCCAAAGCCTCTCGAAAACCATGTAGACATGTTGAAGATGGTCAATGCTCAAGGTCTTCAACTTTGTGGGATTTCTAGAGACATTGATCATGGGCTTAGCAACGGGAAATCGACAAGGGAAAAGCGTGAAAATACCGTGAAATTGGCGTGAACGCCCTTTTTTTGCAGTGAAAGACCGTGAAACGCCGTGAAATTTGGCAGGCGAAAAACCACTCGCATTCGTCCTGGCTGGCGTTGTTTTCTGCTGGGCTTGAAAAGGTCTTGCTGAATGGATGTTTCGGGAAGATCATGATTGTTCCATTGATGATGCAGACATGTGCTGCTTTAACGTTGAGGCCTTCGCAAGTCTAGCTTGGTGTGGACAAGGCTTGTTGCTGACGATGTAAAGTTGGAATTCCATCCAGGCCCCCATCCCCCAGCTAGTCAAACAAAGGATGTTCATGTAACGGCCTTTGTTTTAAAAGCCTTTTACCCCCCAGGGCATACACACATGGGTATGGGTCAAAATTAAAACACCAGGGGACCACAGGCTTTAGTCCATGTTTTCATTTACCAGGGTTCCATTTTGGGTACCGAGTTTTTACCCACAGCCACATACACACATGTCCATGTCCAACCTTTCTATGACCCCCCGTAGTGCCCTTGTACCCTTTTTTGGTTGGGAGGGTGTTTCTACTAAAATAGACTACAGAAAAAAGTTGGTACCAACTTAAGCTTCAAAACTGGAGGACCTCACGTTTTTTTGGCTCAGGCCGCGTGTTTTGTTTGCCAGGCAGACACCTCGCAGGATGGGCAGATCGATTTCGAGGAGTTCGAAGCCATCATGAACAACAAGGCCGGGCGAGCTCGGCGTCGGAAAGAAAAAGGCCACAGGCAAAAACAGGGCTAACAGGGCTCCATGCTGCCGAAAAACCGCAGGGCTCCTTAACAGATCTCCATGTTGCCAACCCATTTGAAACATGTTGCTTTTTCAACACCGAGATAAAGGGAAACCGCCATTTACAAGGCAATGTTCAGGTGTATAATGTAAGGATCCCTGCAAAACAGAAAAAATGAGAGCCCGGTAGGTATCCCATCCCCAAAAGCCTTGCATTCTGAGGTTGGATTTTGGACATTCAAACATTTTGAAGATCAAGAAAGCCACAAACAAACGCGCCCTCAAGTTGTGCCTAGGATTCCGGCCTCGTTGCCGAAACGGCAGGATTGGCCGAGCCCGAAACTGAATTTTGGAATGCGGGAAATACCATGGTCCATGTGGGATTAACATGTCTGTTCCTAGAGTCTCCACGACCCTTTAAAAATGGGGTCATTACCGTAAATAATGAGGTCATGGACCTATTTTCAAAGGGTCATGGAGACTCCAGGTGGTGTCATGTGGCGCGGGGATGGACATCTTTGGTGAAAGGGTTCTCCCCAAGACGTCTCTAAGCCTCACCCCTACGCAGACTCGAGAAGGGCCCAATGAAGATGCCAATGCAAAATTTATCGCTCCTTGACCCGGTTGCCCAGTGGCGCCCTTTTTTCCCTTTTTTTGGGTCAGGGTTCGCCTTTCAACTCAACCAGCCAAAAAAGGATGCCCTTTTTCCCCATGGAAATCCACCAAGCATCTGAGTTGAAAGCGATTTCCATTTGGAGGGCCTTGACTAGGTCCCCAGTAGTGCCCTCTTGCCCCGTTTTGGGGGAGGGTTCCCCTACTAAAATAGACTACGGGGGAAAAATAACAAAATAAAACGGGTACCCTTATTCTGCCCACTGCAAAAACCTAGTTGAGAACGAATCCGTTTTTGGAGGGCCCAACACAAAGAAAGTCGTCGGAGCCTGGGAGGAGGTGAAGATTTGGCTCTCTGCCATGGAGCTGGACGTGCGGGACGTGAGGCCGGCCTTTCCCGAGTCCCGAGTTGACGGGGTGCATGGTCTCTGAAGAAAAAACGACCGAATTCACAGCCGAATTCACCCCAAATGGTGGGTATATGTGGGGAATAGCCCCCAACCACCGCAAGTTTCAGGCTGCTGAAATATTAGAAGTCACCCAGATAGTCTGCGGTGAGTTTGTGACTTACTTGCCCAAAACCGACCTTGTGACCTTTTGGTTCCTCGTTTTCTGGTCCACGTTTTGTCAGTGCTCCAAAAGGGTAAGCTTGTATTTCTGGGTTCCTTGTGCAACTGAGGTGATTCATCAAGGGTTTCGGAGCCATGGCGGTCCTTCTCCACTTATACAATAATCATATGGCTGGTCAAAACCAATGGTACCATTTTGTGGTAGGTGCACCACCCATTTTAGTCTATTTTAGTGGGGCTTGGGATGTTCACTGGGGGTACGGGATTTTGACCCACGGCCATATACCATTGGTGATATTGCACACATCCATTCCTCCAAAACCTCTCTGACTCATTTCCTGAGTTCCCGGGCTTTGCAAAACCCACTTGGGTTTGGACCATTTGGAGCAAAAAAAAAACGAGCCTCAGCCTCCACCGCGTTTTTTTTTGGGGCCAATCCACATGGGAAGTGAGACGGAACTCCAAACGGGGGGAAGTCAGCCAAATTGGACCGGAGGCCTTTGGGAGCGGAGGATAGGAACTCGAGCTGATTGGACTGCTGAAAAACGCCCTGCGAAGGGCACCTTTTCCTGGAGTCTCCTGCAAAAACCCTTGAAAAATGGGTCAATGACCCCATGTTTTTTGGGGAAATCACCCCCATTTTTCAAGGGTCATGGAGACTCTAGGCAGTTGAATCGTCATGCCCGAAGGCTCATGACCCCTCCAGACCCCGGAGCCTCCAATGGAGAACTCACGGGCCCTCCAAAACCCATTTAGAGGGCCCAAAAGCAGTCGGGACCCTTAGGGTGATTGGCATACGTATCTTCAACGCATGTGGTTTCTTCAAGAAGTTGGTTTCTTGCGGCAACCATGACCGGTATTTCTCGACGTGTGGCACTGAGAACTATGCCATTCCTCTTCCAGTTTTTGTGGCAGCTGGGCGTGTGGCGATTTTTGCTTTTCGCCCGGGAGCTATAGCAGGGGTACATGTCTCAAATAACCCGAAGCTCCACACACCATGGCCATCTTCGGCCCCTCTGGTGGCCAGTTTCTTATATATATATATATATATATATAGTATAGTACTTCATGCATATATATATATATATATAATACATATATATATATGACATGTTGTTTTGTAAATACCCAATGCCTGGTGACCCCACAAGCCATGCCCCTTCGGTTGGTGCAGCCCAGTTTCTTTTTTTCCGGTGTGGTCTGGGGTGAACTCTTCTGGACCCCGGACATTGGGAAATGAGTCTCAACTTTGGCATGAAGCCCATCACTTGGGCTCCTTTCGGTATGTTTGGGGCAAGAAATCTCCGGCCCAAAGTGCGTGCAAGCCATTCTAGGGTTTGATTCCCCATTCCAAGGTTTGATGGTTTTCCTGGAAAGAACTTGCCCTAGAAACCTCCCTGTTTCTGAACTTGGCTTGGGTCAACTTCGGGGCACAATGTCCAGTTGTTCATTCTTCCGGGTTTGGGGGTCGATTTTGGGGTGCAACATCCCCAGTCTTGAGGGTCCAACCCCCTTGCGTTCCGGTTCGGACTTGAGTCGCTTGGGTTTGGGCCATTTAGCGCTCAAGTTCCTGGACTCTTTTTGGGCCGAACCACTCCCTTGGAAGCGAGTCGTTTTCTTGACTGATATTGGGCAACGGATCTTTGGAGACTAACTTTTTGGTTGAAATCAAGTTGTGTCTTTTACTAAAACCCCCCCAAAAAAGTTTGATCACCGCTTTTTGCAGGGGGGTCGTTTCAGCAACCAAGGTTTTGGGTTTCCAGGGTTTTCGGCCGCAGGCAGCTCTTCGACTTGTTGGACCACTCCGGAGACGGGGACGGCACCTTGACGGCGGAGGAGCTGGTGCTGGGCATCGCCAAGCTCAGGCGCACCCCGGGATGGCCTTCACTGTTGGCATGTTTTTAGGTTTTCTCAACGTAAACTTTTTCGAAAGCCATTTTTGTGGCAAATAAAAAGGGATTTTTTTGGAATGTGGGTGTGGGTCAAAGTTAAGCCACCAGTGGAGCGCAGATCTTAGTGCGTGTGTCCATTTACCAGGGTTCCGTTTTGGGTACCCATGTGTGACTCACAGCCATGCTTTTAGGTCTTCGCACTTCCTGACTCCCTGCACCGTAAACGTTTTGGGAAGACCATTCTAGTGGCAAATAAAGAGGTTGGACTTTTTTTGGGCCATCCACTTGGAAAGTTAGTTTGTAGGTTGTTTGGCTCTGTTCATGTTTAGTAGGGCGCTGCAAACAACAAAGTGTTGGTTACCATACCAACGCTTGGGCAGTTCCTCCTTGTTGGGTTTTCCCATGTTTGGCACGATTTGAGCGGAAAAACTCGAACGAACACTTCGTATTCCCGGGTCCGAACTAGGCAACTGAGCCAGTTCGGAGATTTTTCTCCGCTCTGTCAGTTGTTTTGAATGACAGGTCACGTTCCCAGTTTGTGAACACAGTTTTCGAGAAGACCCATGCTAATACCTGGAAAGCCGTATGGCATTTGTTTTGGACGGAACCCGTGTTTGGATCGTTTTGCCCGTATGGTGTGTGTTTTTGTTGGTCTTTTTTTTTCTTCTCGTTTTCTGGCCGGTGGTCGTATTTGGCCGTATGCAACCCGTATTTTGTCAACAACATGTTGACAAAAAACGTAAATGACCGCATGGTTACTTTTCGTGGCCGAAGCTGTATGGACAGAACAAAAGCCTCACAAACGGATTTCCAGGTAGTAAAAACGGCTGGGTTTTTTCTGACCAGTCCTCTCAGAAAGCGAGGAAACCACTGACTGTTGTTGGCATGTTTTGAGGCGTTTGGTTGTTTTTTTTGTTTTTCTCAATTTTAGTAGGGTTGTAAACACATAGCACAGTTTTTGCTACGTACCAAGGGCTGGAAAGACCAAAACGACCACTGCATTGTTTGGTTGACACAATTGGCTTCCCTCCCTCGATCTTCTTTGAGCGCAGGGGGCCGGCCCGGAGCATTGACATCAACGCGGCTCGGTGTCGCCGGGACGACCTACGGGTTGCATTGTGACCCCGTTTCAGCATTTGGAACCCCACCATTGTCTGATTTGATGCCAAACGTCGATCCTTTGAGGACGTGTTGATTGTGCAAGGAGGCTCTCTCCTGTTTTAACCGGAAAGCTCCGAAGCATCTAGTTTTCAGGGAGTGGGAGCAATCAATCAAGGGTCATAATTGTACCTTGACTCTTGGGCAAACTGTGGGACCATGACACTGACTCAAAACGCAATCCTCTTTCCTTCGGGCTTTGGATTTGCAGTTTCCCTGTGTCTTGCTGGGTCAAAGGCAGAAGTCCTTTTCGAGTGTCTCCGAGGAGATCATTTTTCGGCAAGAGAAGCTCGAGCGGATTTTGTCCGATGTGAAGACGGATGTCACCCGATTACAAGCGAGGAGATACACCTGGGGGCACGTCAAAATCAGCAGGTGAAGGTGGTACCCTCACAAAACAATCATACACACACACAGAGACACAGACACAGACACAGACACGCACACACACACACACACACACACACAGAGACACGCAGACACGGACAGAGGCACACACAGAAGAGACACACACAGAGACAGAAACAAACACACAGACACAGACACAGGCACACACACAGACACACAGACAGACACACAGACACACAGACACACACAGAAACACACAGACGCAGACACAGACACAGACAGAAACAGACACACAGACACACAGAGAGACGTACAGACAGACACACACACACACACACAGAGACACACAGAACCACAGACACACACAGAGAAGCACACAGACAGACACACACACACACAGACATGCGCACACAGAGACACACACACGGAGACACACAGACAAGGAGACACAGACATAGACAGACACAGACAGACACACACAGAGACGCACAGACACGGACACAGACACACACACACACACAGAGCGACAGACACACGCAGACACACACAGAGACGCACAGACACAGACACAGACACAGACACACACACACAGACACAGACACAGACACAGACACAGACACAGACACAGACACAGAGACAGACACACACACACAAACACACACACACACACACACTTGCAGACACACACACACAAAGAGAGACATGCAGACACAGAACCAGACACACGCAGACACACACACACACAGAGGCACACACAGAGGCACACACAGAGGCACACAGACACAGACACACAGAACCACAGACACACACAGAGCAGCACACAGACAGACACAGACACACAGACACACAGACAGACGCACACACAGACACACGCAGACACACAGACGCGAACACAGACACACACAGACACAGACACAGACAGACAGACAGACACACACACACACAGAAACACACAGACACAAAACCGGACACGGACACAGACACACACACACACACACTCACACAGTTACAGACACACAAACAAACACGCGGAGGCACACACACAGAGACACACACGCGCAGAGACACGCAGACACACGCACACAGAGAAACACACACACACACACACACACACACGCAGACACAGACACAGACACACAGACACAGGCGCACACACACAGACACACAGACACGGTCACAGACACACACACACAGAAACACATACAGACGCACAGACACAGACGCAGACACACAGACACAGACAGAGACGACATGCAGACAGACACGCACACACACAGACACAGACAGACATGCAGACAGACATGCAGACACGCACACACACACACACACCCACCCACCCACCCACACCCACCCGCCCGCCCGCCCGCCCGCCCGCCCGCCCACGCCCACGCACTCGCACTCGCACCCGCACACTCACACTCACACGCACACGCACAGGCGCGCGCGCACCCACACGCCCACACGCCCACACACACACAGGCACACACCTGATCGCAATCAATATTTTTTCGGCAATCTTGGCGAATGAAAAAGAGCCCCGCTTGCCTTTGCACTTAGCGTCATGGGCGGTGTGGAGGTGTTTTGGCTGTTTTCCCATTGGATCTGCGTGTTTCCGCCTTTTCAGCAAAAAACTGATACTATGGTTTTCTTTAGCAACGCTTGACTTTCAACTTTATATATATATATAGTGTGTCTCTGGGCACTTTTGACTGGTTTACTGTTCTTGGATCAATCCATGAAGGCGGTTCTGGCGACTTCCCCTCCCGAGCAGCAATTTTGCTCGACCAGACAGCAACGTTCGTTGGAAGCAGACCGTTTGCAGTGAAGCGCTCGACATCACAACTTTCAAAGTTTTTTTTGGTGAGGGGTTGTAATCCCTTGTTTGAACACACACTCACGCTTCCGAGTCGTGCGCACGGCAGAGCAGTGCGGCACGTCCTGATCCGGGCGCGGCCTTGTGCCGCTGTCGAGGTGCAACCTACTTAAAAGGTCTGGCTAGGTCATTGGCCGTTCGGATTGGCCTGCCAGCGCAAAAAGTGCGAAGAGCACGATCCACGTTGTGTAAGGTACAACGTGGCAGCTCAAGCGTAAGGCCACTCTGTGGTGGTCCAACTCCCAGGGTTGAGAGATTGAGGCTTCGAACCTCTCCAATGCCCAAGTTGAAAAGGGAAGCACAAGCCCGAAAAAGCAAGCGAATCACATGGATGTCCGAACCAAGATTGCATTGAGCATGGGAGAGGCTAGGCTGATCTCGCCAAATCGCACCGTCTTTGTGGGGTGCCGGGCTGGGGAAAGCTACGCCTGCAAGCCTGAGCGCAATTGCGCATTCAAGCCAAGAAATGAAAACTGGTCCTTCGGAGGTCTGGGCCTGCTGATGCAGCCATTGGATGACCTGAAGGGGAAACCTGGTGCCAAATTTGAATTCTACTGCTGATCCTGCAAGGTCCGTTGCCCATTCTGGGCTAAGCGAAGCGAGCCATCTAATCTGCCCTTCACTATGTGCATAGGGCAGCGGCTCCTCGTCATCGGGGAGGTCGTCAGGGGTTTGCTGGTGATGCTTGGCTTTTTCTCTCCCGTCATTGGATTCGGCAATGGCAAGATGAAGGCTCTGCAGAAGGCGGAGTCGGTGTAGCTGATCACGTTCAGCCTGCTCATAGTTGCTCCAAAGTAGTGCAAAGTCAGGGTTACGCCTTTGATTTGCATGCTTAGCGGCTGCGTCTGCGGAGTTGTTCCATCGAGCTGCCCATTCATCGGCTGGGTTTTCACACTCGTCCGGATGACCATGACCTGGTAGATGCAGTACTTGAAATTGACCAGGTGCAAGTCCAGACAGATGCTGATGAAGTTCTTGCCATAGGTCACCGTTGCTGCGATCCGGAATGTCAGAGTCATCTGCTTGGATACGCCATGTACCTGCTGCAGCGTACGCCGAGTCGGTCCACAGTGTGGTGTTGCATGCACTGAGGGTGGTCCATTTTGCAGCGCAGATAATAGCTGTGAGCTCGGCCCGGTTGATGCACTGAACTGGGCCTGCGAGCTCGCCTGATGAGATGCAGCAAACGTGCGTTGCCGATACCAACGCCCAGGAAGCAAGTGCGAGTGGCCGGTAGGTGGGTGACGTACATGAGCCATCCGAGAAGAGGTGGACGTCTTCGTCGGCTTGGGCAACAAGTTGAAAGTGGAATGGTTCATTTTGGAGGTTGTAGAAGTACTCCCGAACTTGTCCAAGAAGGGGGTTTCGAGGGAGTAGTAGCCGCTCTCGTACACATACAGGAGAATCGTGCCATAGGCGTCGAGCTTGTTCGTGCTGCGCGTGACACTCAGCAAAGGCTGGACATTCGAGGCATCTGTGCTCGGCTGTGTCATTGGCTGGGCAATGGTTGCATTGGCTGGTTGACAGGTTGTCGAACTTGGCCTTCTGGGTGTTGAGGTAGAAGGCTCCTTCCCGAAGTGTGTTGACTCTGGCGTTCTCAAGCGCTGTGAGGTGTGAACTGCATTGCTTGACTGCAGCCCAATTGATGCCTTCAAGGCCCTGAAAGTCTGCTCGAGTTGAGACCTCGCGCGCGGTCTTCTGGAGCCAGGCATCTTCAAGTAAATCATGAAGTATACCATTGTCAATGATCAACAGGTTGTGAAGGTGCCCTTCATGATCGACCAGAAAAGGAGGTGCCTCAATAGCCCACAGGACAAGGTTGAGCTGGCGCATCAGGACAGAGAAGGGTCCGGCAAATGTGCGACCATTGTAGGAAGCAATGAATTGTGTCCACAAATCAATGAGGGAGGCCTGCTTGACAAGGACCCGCTTGAATGTGCGCACCACATGCCAGAGCTGAAAGAAGCCTGGGTCGCTAAGGGCGTTCCCAGTCAGGAGGCTGAGTCGAATTGCCGGATTGGCTCCAGCTCTTCCGCATCCAACTGCCCTGACTGCTGCCGTCCTGAGCTGCTTGATGGATGCCGTGCTGAGGTCCTCGATGGGAGCACTATGGAAGATCTTCGGCCAGATTGCCTGGAAGAGGATGAAGTACTTGTTGAAGGAGGGAAGATTGATCTTCTTAAGCAGGGCCCAAATAGGGTGAAGCCCGGCGAGTAGATCAGGGTGATGAGCCGTCTTCCGGCGGGCTCCATAGGTCATGTGGCCTCCAAGATCCTTGTCCTTCTGACTGATGCGACGACCCAGAAGTGCGAGTTGTTTGCGGTGCTGTGGCTGAACTGCCCAGAGGTAGGTTTTGTCAGCGTCAATGCTGAGCTGAAACATTTCCAGGAAGGTGTCCTGGGAAACCACTGCCTGAAGGAGAGCCCCGGGCTGGTTGGAGACAATTTCCAGGTTGTCGACAAAGGAGATCGATGTTGCCCTCGGGGAGAAGTGTGATTGGTACAGGTGATAGCACCAGTCAACTAGCACCATTGCCAGGCAGCTTAAGGGGCATCCCTCTGGGTATCCGCAGTTCGAGAAGAGCGGTGTACCGATGGTGTCGTGGACAACGAACCTCCGGGAGAAGCCAGTCAGGAATCGGTGCCATGCCTCAACGAAGTCGGACGGGAAGCCAACGTGTTTGGCAACCTGCTTGATTGGAAGCCGTGGCAAGTGATTGAAAGCCTTCTCGACGTCCGCAACGCAGCCAACCAGGGGCTGGTCCTGTTGGGCTCGCAGCTCGATGAGAGCCTGAAGAGGCAACCAAATCTCCTGAGCTTCACGTGACGGCAGAAATCCAAAAGCCGGGCAGTCCATGAGTTGGGACAGCTTGGAGAGTCCTTGCCGTGCCCGAAGCGAGGCCCAATTTCTGTAGATCATGCTCAGGACAATGATTGGGCGGAACTGTGAGACTTCCTCAGCCTCCGGGCACTTGGCAATGCCATGGGCGAAGCCAGTGAGCAGTTGCTGCGGCCATTGTGCCCCATGTTCGATGTTGGTGAGCAAGTTGACGTGAGCCTGTCGTAGAGGTGCTGACATGTTGGTGAGGTCAGTGAGCCCATAGCCATCGGATCCACGCGCGGT